ATTTCAGTTTAAGTAGTCCCGAGAGTACCGCTTTTTTAGAGAAGTTTGTCATCTGAGCTTTTCCTGAACAGATACAAAAAAACTAGGGGTACTAGTATTGGTATTTTCTCGTTGAGTATATCTTTCAGTATTGTCTATATCAGAAAGTGTTAAGGATTTTTGTAACCACTGAAGTCGGATTTTTTATTGTTGTTAGGTACGGTTATATACAAACCTTTTTTATTTGTGTTCCGTGCCCATCACCTATCAAGCCTTAAAAGACACTCACCTAGAGATCAATTTTCGCCTTGAGATCACAAAGAAAATATATGCCGCAAGTAAAACATGTTGACGCACCTGCATGCTGTTTCCCTGTCGATGGTGAGATGAAATGTGACAACAGCAATAAGTGGTATCACAATGTGTGCACCGGACTTGTAGAATTATGGCCTACTATGATATTAGTACTGCTCTGATGATAGACCCAATCCTAAAATTTTAGATTTGTCATGACAACAAAGCCTATCAAGACCATATAAAATTGAAAAGAGGCTCAAATAGCGTCGACAATAAAAGGGAGACAGCCATTTGTGTATCATAACACTGTTTTTAACACCTTATTTTATAACTACACATATCCCCAGACTCTCAGTTTCCTTCTGAACCACCTCCATTTGTCAGTTATTTATCCACTCACACCTTGTTTACACTTATTTTCTTTAACTTATTAAGATGCTCCTGCTTAATAAATACTTTAACAAAAAAGGGTGAGACTGAGTAGTCACACCTTAACTATTGCTTCATGAACATTGTCTGCTCTGCTTTTCGTCCTTTTTTTGTTTTCTTTTTTTTTCTTGCACCATTTTTCAGCCCCCTTGAGATACGGAACGGATGACCTGGTCCTGCACCATCCTTAACGACTCAAATATTCCAAAGAGATATAAGATTGCGATTTCTAGAAGCCCTCAACTGCACATGAATCTATCATCGACCCTCAGTTGCACGTCGCAACGCAACTTTCATGAAGCGCGCCAACTGTGATACTGTGTACAAACATTCTACATTCATATCTTATAAATTATCGACCCAGCTGAGTAATTTGTCACAGTTGGAAATTGTATCATTTGTAACACTTTGATCTTGCCTGTAAACTGGCATGCCTCATGTAACAAAATGTTATTTGAGAATAAATTATTATTATTATTATCATTAATTTATAAGATCTTACGTGGAAGTTACATCACCATCTACACTGACTCATTTCACTGTAACAAGTATCAATACATGATGGAGAACAATCTTAGGCTAGAGATGGAACAATATATTTAATGTGAATAAAAGATATAAGGTAACATTCGGTAGGGACCACGCCTGCATGGCCGAGCCATGCCATCCGATCAACTCGGATTAGATCAATTCATTGTTCCCGCCTATTAAATCGTTCGGTTTTTCTCCGCGTTAAATGTTGAACATCTATTTTTCTAGTGTCTCCTGTTCAGCTTTGACGATTGTGTGATTGGGGCCCAATGCCACTACAGACTCACACCGACTGCATATAAAAGGTGCTGCAGTTCATTATCACGTTGGCCATGTAAAGCTTGTTGTTCTACAAAGTCTCTGCTTATTCTAGAGGCCATTGAAATACTGAACATAGCTAGAAAATTGCCACCGAATAAACAGGCAACAGTAGACTAACAGAATTCCGCTTTCGAGGAAACAAAGGGCATTTTCATGAGTCCAGCTCTGGATTTGAATGAGACCGTGAAGGTGGACCCCATCAGGGAAGCAGATAACAAGCGTACCAACGTAGGCGTTGTCATAAGGAATAAGAAAACGAGTGCTTAAAAGAAACTAATGATAAACGACATTAAGGTATGTGAGCCTACGGTTTTAGTTACGGATTCACATATCAACGCAAAACCAACTATTTGGGAGTCAAGTCTGAGTGGTGTAGAGGATTTTGTCAAGAAACAAAATAAGTTAAATTATTGATTCACAGTTAGACCCAAGAAAAAAGTAAGAAAACAGAATGTGACCTCTGTGTTAGACTCCAAATCCGATTGCGAGGAAGAGATTTCTGGAGGTAGAATTCCACAGCTTATTAGGACGGACCTCGCTGAGAAGCTAGATTTGAGCACGACCTCAGTTAAATCAAGTCCTAAATAAGCAAGCTACTTCCGGAAAGAGTTTCAGGACTTAGCATCTGTAAGCTTTGTAGGATAGAAAAAAAGGTGGATTCTAAAAGTACTCAGAAACGCTGCCTCTTGATGGTTATCTTTGCTACAAATGAAGAAAGAAACCTGATACTGGGAAACTCACGCAAACTGATTGGATCCGGAATATACGTCCGTGAGGATCGCAGCCTGCTTGACCAAATTAAGCACAAGCTGTAGAAGTAGAAATCAATGAGCGACGCCGAAACAGTGAAGGATATCTTGTACTAAAGTGTTTTCAATTTGTAAAAGTTTGGAGTAAAACGATCCCCAAACCACTCTGGGTGGTAAGGGGAATTTCTCCACAAATACTCGCAGCCTACTAAGTAAAATGACGGAGCTCAAAACAATGGTGGATATAGTAAAAGCGGATCTCATTGCTGTCTCGGAAACATGGTTAACGTTAGAAGTGTTCGGTAAAGAAATTTAGTCCACAGGTTTTCTAACAGTAGGGCTGATAGATCAGACGCGGAGTTATCCTGTACACGAAAACTACCTTAACCATACGAGCAGTTAAGACAGTTACATATGATTCAGAGACATGTGAACTGGCCCTAACATATGGAAGACAGATGCAGAGGCGATAAACTATGCAGCATCTGCTAAAAACTGGAAAATTGACTCGAGGGCCTCTGAAAAAGGGCATGGACTCATTTCAGGCAGTTATAAAATCGTGTAACTTAACCATTCATATACTGGACAAACCCGAAGAAGTAGGAGAAGAAGCACATCCATCCCTGGATAGGGAGGGATATTCGACGTTTACTCAGACAAAAAAGAAACGTTGGAACGTTGCCATCAGCTTTGGCAAGCAAGTAATATGAAACGCCACAGCTCGACGTTTACTAAGATAAAAGAAGAAATGTTGGAATGTTGCTATCAGCCTTGGAACGCTACAGGTCGGTATGAAATAAGTGTATAATTAAACTCGAGGAAGCCCAGAGGAAATATGAAATGCATTGGACACAATCTGCACTTGAGCAGAGTAAGAGAATATTCTCGTACACAAATTACAGAACAAGGATGCATCATTGGATTCCCAACCTAATTAAAGAAGGAAGTGAATCTGAAAAGAGAAAGGAAGATCAGGAAAAAGCAGAGGCTATGGTTAACTATTTTTCGGCGGGAACCTCTTCTAGACGATGAACTACACCCAAATGCAGAGTCAACAAACCAAACGCTCATCATGGACTTTTATCAAGACGATCTACTTAAAGCTCTTAGCATCTTGGACATGGAGAAGTCAACAGGACCGGGCGAACTACAGTCCAAAATCTTGAGACATATTGCACAATACATCGCAACCCCACTGACCGTGATTTGCGATATGTCACTTGACCGAGGTGTGTTACCTATGGATTGGAAGGATGCAATCGTCACTCCCATACATAAAACAGGATTAAGAAAACTTCCATCGAGCTACAGATTTGTCAGCCTCACCAGTGTTGTAGTTAAAATATTGGAAAGAATAGTCAAACAGACCATGATGGCATTTGTAGAAACCAACAACTTGTTAAACAGCAAACAACATGGTTTCAGAAAGAGTTCATCCTGCACAACAAACCTCCTTATAGCAAGGGAATATTGGATAAAGGCGCTAAACAACGGGAACTCAGTGGATGTTGTTTATACAGACCTCAGTGTGGCATTTGACAAGGTGCCAACAAATAGACTGCTATTGAAGCTAGAAAATCTTGGTATTGCCGGACCTTTTTTAAAATGCCTGAACGATTTCCTAGTAGGTCGTAGACAGAAAGTAAGAATAAATTCCAAGTGCTCCACCTGGAGACCAGTACTTAGTGGAGTACCTCAAGGCTCCGTCCTAGGTCCTTTACTTTTTATACTGTATGTAAATGATCTCCCAAATATAGTACAGTCCCGAATGTTATTATACGTTGACGATGTAAAAATCTGGCGAGTAATAACGGGAGACGCAGATGCATGAGCACTTCAGGTAGACATAAATATTGTGATTACCTGTTCTAAACAGTGGTCGATGCCTATCAACGCGGCAGTATGTCTACATGCACTTTGGGGATACAAAGGTTAGTAAGCACAGGATAAGGGAAGTGTCTGTACCCGTCATCTGGTCTCACAAGGATCTTGGGGTGACAGTTAGTTATGATCTCAAGACCACGGACCATTGCCGGGAGGTTGCAGCCAAGGGGTTTATAACCCCAAGTTAAGTACTACCATGTTCATTACAGTACACACAACCTTAGTGAGAACTAAGCTTGAGAACTGTGTTCAGGCTGCAATCTCATACTTTAAAGGTGACTCGACTATCCTGGAAAAGGTACAGAGGGCAGCTACCTGTGCAATTCCAGAACTACAGGGTCAACCATACAGAGAGCGGCTTGAAAAGCTAGACCTCTTCACTCTGTCCTATCGCAGACTAAGGAGAGACCTAGTTTTGATGTAAAGAATACGGAGAAGCGATTTTGGACCCTAGATATATTCTCTTTTTTTCCATTCGATCGGGACATCTCAGTGGACATAACAGGCGAGTAGAAAAGTTTACAACGAATAAAGTACCGGTGGTATTCAGATTTTCACACCGAGTTATCAATTTTTGCATCCTGTTGCTCGAAGCAGTGATGTCCACACCTTCATATGGTTCATTCAACAGAAGACTGGACACTTACAGAAGCATACTGTCAAAGGAATAACAAAGGTTGCAGGCTTTCTGTTTTTATTACACAAACCTGAATCCGAATTTCTATTCTCTCTACAGAAAGCTTAAACAAAAATCTCTTTGTAAATTTTTGCTTATTTAAACGGCGCATTTTACTAACGTTTTTGCTACAATTCGGGGATGGCCCCATGGATGGTTGGCAAGTCAATCTCGAAAGACCAGTTAAGTCGTTTGCTTGAACATAAGTACCACTGTGAAGGAGAAAGCATATGTGACAACCTTCTTAAGGAATTTTGGCGGATATCTTCTCTGTACATACCGACATATGTTGCTCCCAATACTCTCACATTAATTGGTTTTCTCGCCAATGTATTTGCTTTGTGCTTGCTTTTGTCTTATGGGGTATGCAAATACATCAATCACATTTTTTAAGGCTTGTTTTTTCACTTCTTTGGTGTTTGTAGTGTGTGTATTCGCGTATCAGACTTTAGATGCCTTAGATGGCCTACAAGCTCGCCGTACAGGATCGTGCTCTCAGCTTGGTGAACTGTTCGACCATGGTTGTGATGCTTTATCCACATGTAATTCGATCTTTACGGTCTGACTGTTTAGGCATCCTCCCCATAAGTTATTTCATCATCATTGGTTTTGATGACTGGCCTATGTTGATGTTCATACAATACTTCTGCATCCAAGCTTTATTTTATGTAGCCCATTGGCGATGTTACGTCACAGGAATTCTTGCGTTTGACCGGTAAGTAAGCATAGTTATCGAGTTTTGCAGTGTCGGAGTAACAGAGGGACTTTTAATTGGAATTTTATTTGGGACGATATCTTCAATATTCGGTCCCTCTATTTGGAGCATAAAAGTGAGTTTTGTTTATTATCCTTAGTGCCTTACGTAAATACATGGTGGCTGAAGTAAACCTATCCTGTTCCTCATAAAGAATCTTATTTTATATTTTCCAAAACTAATGTAGTCGGACTTTATTATATTAAAACCGATTACGTTGTTTCCCGAGAATTTTTGACTGCACTAGAAACATTAGTTTTTACGTACAAGTACAAAAAGCTCACGGGAAAAAGTAGTCGCTATAAATTTCAAAAGTGAGGATACGGTAAACAAAAACCACTGTCAGTATAACTGATTTCTGATATTTAGATTTTATGGCAATATTAGTTTTGTAATTTGTCGTTTTGAGCTGTGGGAAAGGATCATTACTAAAAATAATAGATTGTGGGAAGCACTTTATTTCCACTACAAACCAGTACGGTTAGAAATACGAATTCACCTTGCAACCATAAATTTATCGCTTATGATCTTACCGTTACCCCTGGTGGAATTTCAAAGAATGTTCCAGCCAATATAACTCGTATCGATTGTTGCAATGAATAAGATCAAATCCCGCTTAAAAATAATTGTAGTTACGACCAGATTGTTTGCCGTCCATCTAAAGTCGGTTCAACCAATGTTTTTTCCACGTTAATACTAGCAAGTTAAGGTTACTACGAAATGTAATTTAATGTAACACTGGTATCCAAATGATCTGTACATAAGAAAGCTCTATTAATTAATTGTCTTCTCAACGCAAATGTAAAGCTCTTTACGTCGTTGGTATTAGACTACCGTGTGTGGCTCGTTCTGCCAATCCCTTTTAAGATAATTTCCTTTGAATAATTGCCTTTCAGATGTGTACATTTCTCACGTATGTATATTTCATAGGGTATTGATAAACTAGATATTCAAGAGCATGAATTTTCGGAAGTTGGGGAGCGATTGCTTCTGGTTAGCGGAATATGTAGTCTGCACTTAGAAATATTAAGTCGAGTTAAAGGACCAAGTAATACATTGTTCTATAGTAGGGACACTGATACCCAGTTGCATCATTATATATTAAATAAGTATATACGGGACTTGCACATAGCTAGCTCTGTAGTTCATTTATTTCAAATCTCAACACATCCTCAGTGCTAGACTGTATCTCGGAGACTCAACATAGGTATAGTTCATGAATAAGGGCAGAAAATTTCGAGTTTCTTAGAAGGTACACCGTTATTAAGAGCTTTATTACTGATGTCCTCAGTCAGTTAGTCATCTACAACATAGGACTAGGCATATATGCATCGGTTCAAGTTACCATACCTCACTAGCACAAGATGAACACTAAATTCATAAAGGCAGTTCTTCCAATGGTAGTAATATATAAAGGTTGCGTATGAGGATATGATACGGGTAGGAAGAATTATTTCGTAGAAACAAACGTATAGACTTATTTTAATCTCACGGCTTGAGAGAAGAGTGTATACACCAACGCCATCGTGACCGATTCCGAGCCATGTTACCCAGAAGTCTCCAACCACTGGTTACGACAGTGGTGAGGACCCCAACCAAGTAGTCTGCATATACCAACATGGCTCAGATTAGAAGTTAGTGACTCCAAGAACTGATGTCGTTTTGTTTTGGCCACCCCTAACATTTTTCTATCCGGTGGTGGTCTATTGTTAATGGTCTCATACTTAATCCGTCTAAATGTCAAGCTATTAACTTTAGCCTGAGGTATGAACAGCACTTAAACACCATGTTGGGATCCCATAATGCTTTTGCCGTTGGAGACTTTGATAAACACAGTGTCGAAGGTCAATTATCTTGGTGTTACCTTTTCCCCTGATCCCACTTGGTCTTCTCATGTTTTACTGCCATCGAGGAAAGTTTTCCGTCTAACTTACTACATGAAGAGGCTGCATGCTCTTGCGATTACTCGTCATTTACTCTTACAATTTTTCAATTCCTGCATATTACCTATTATTCTTTACTGTTCTGCATTATTCTTTCCCGGGCTTTTGAGAAAAGACTTCCGTATTGCGGAGAGTGTTGAAAGCAGTTAACAGGGTGCTATCTTATCAGATACTAACCATCCCTTTCATTCATATCTCTCTCCTTGTATATCTTCTGGTAGAACGAAACGTCAATACATTAGAATCCATGCACACAAGCAAACGTATTAAAGTTCTATAATACCTTACCTAGCAAATGTACTCTATGACGAACAGGTTGTTATGGTTGGCCTAGTTAATTACCTGTGTCCTTAAACGTGTATCTAATTGAAAATTTGTACAGGTCCAGATCTTTTTTTTTTCAGCAGTAGGTCTATGATAAAATTAAACAAAAATGGAGATAGTGAATGGCGTTGCTGGATATCATTTGAGGTTGCAAAATCAGATGACAGTTCGCTAGAAGCTCTAATTCGACTGGTGATTGTGATCAGTCAAATGGGAGTACGTTCAATTCCCAGATTTTAGCTAAAATATTATTCAACTTAGTCACTAAAACTGAACCACCATCATTAAAGACCTCTGGAGCCAATGCGTCTGGACTAGCTGCTTTCTCCTGTTTCAGATTAGCTATAGCTTTTCTAAGTGATCATGATTACGGTAGCTGTTAGAAGTATGAGGTCAGTTATCACTTCCCGGATGCGTACATCATGAAAGGATTCTCCTAGAGGTATCTGAATAGGAAATTGAGTTAGGGTTGGTCTTAGTAACCCACTCTTCAACCGACCTGCCTGACATGATAGGACATTGGAGAAGGATTGTTCCAGTCAGTATAGCTCGATTGGTTCAATACGATAGGCAAACCCGACTATCACGTCAAGGTAGCAGCAATAGTCAATCCCTAGCTCCCAGTTTACTTTTTTAGAATCATTTTCTTGTTAAGGTTGTACAGAAATTTGATAAGATTATCTTATCTCTTCTAAATTTCCGCATTGTGATGTTTTGTTTTGGTAATATTTGATTTATTTTTGTCACTTATTATGAATGTTTTGTTTTTCTGCAATCTTTGTGTAGGATCCACTTCTCGGTTTGGAGCTCAAGGTTGTTCAGTTCCTCGTGTTCTCAGTTATCATGTTTTTTCTGGCGGTTCAGTTCGCTGATACTATTTCTCAAGGTGGTTGTGGTAAATACGGGACAACCGTTGCTGTGAGTTGATTTCAAAGTTTGAAATTTCATGTTTTCTTAGAAATACAACCAGTATAGTTACCGGAGTCCGAATATGTATTTTAGCTAGGGACACTTCACATAATCACTTTAAAGGGTATATTCTGGTTTCCAATATGTTACTGAAAGTTTAGGGAAAATAGAATGTCAGTGTTTTATTTCTTTCGTTTTGTACTATTTTATGGAACTAACTACCATGGAATAAGTATAGCTCAAAGTTGTATACTGAAACCCTTACTTGGTTACTTGTTTGCATCACTCTTCACCTCAAAAACATTTCGATAAATTCCAAACATCGATTATGTGAATAAATAGTGAGATATAATTCCCCGTTACTCTTTAAGTTCGGCTAGTTAAATTAGTGATCTATTTTCCACTACCTTTTCGCATTTGATTTCCAGTTTAACAGATCTCAGTACAAACTTCAATATGCTATCCACTGTGTAGTTCAAAACACCAATAAAATTAATTGTTGTATATGACCAATTTTTTTTACATAAACAAGTTCTCCGTAGTAAAAAACAAATCGTAAACATATTGGGTGGGCTTATTTTTAGCTTTTATTGATTTGAATGCTATTTGTTAAGAGCGTAATATTAATGATCACACTTTTCACCTCTGTTTTAGAATACTAGTGTACTATTTCCAGTTTGCCCTCTTACACTTGCACTTGGTTTTCCTGTTTTGGTTGCTATTAATTCTCCGGTAAATCTTTATCACCAATCACCTTTTATTTTCCTGTTGACGTTTGGGATCGTTTCAGCAAAAGTTTCTCAACGTTTAGTGGTAAGTATTATCTAGCGAATAGAAACTGTTTACTTAGCAGTAAAGAAGTGATTTCCATTAACGATGAAAGTAAGGACTACAAGTCTTTATCTGATTCATGCAACCTAATAGTATGTATTAAAATCATTGTATCAGTTAACCCCTTTTTTACTGGAACTATCTACGATTCTCGTACCAGTGTACTTGGAGAAACTCTTATTGTCATGTATGTCCTATAATTTTTGTCCCTCTTTATGCAACGTGTTCCGTTTAATCATTTTCGTCAAAATATGAAAAAAAGTTTTAGGGGAATACAGTGAGTACTCCGTATTTTAAGGTTTCCCTCTTTTTAGTTTCGATTGGCATGAAAAATATGTCACTGAAATTAGAACACGCACTTGCTGTTCGACAAACTAGATATGACAATTAAAACACTAGGAAAAGTCATATTTTAAGTTGATAGTTGACCGATGAGCGAACTTGTGCTTTATGGGTAGAAAGAAGATAGTTACTCTCGATGTAAGTCACAGAAACACATAGGCAAAATAGCTCGTAAAATCAATTAAACATCCAATATAATTTAAAAGTAGAGAAGGTTAAAGTTGCCAAAACGGGTTGTAATCTACAAGAAACTGCAGAAGGTGGCCTGCGTTATGTGATCCGGGATTAATCATTAATCTTTTAAACGATTCCTCTTTATGGTCACGAGGCCGACCTTAAATTCGCAATGTCTGTTCAGCCTATAGTAATACTATCAGCAGGGATGAATAAGTATGGATGATATGATTCAAGGATAAAGAATAAATTCATAGATAATTTAGGAATTCAGGATTTAAGAAGCGATACAGTGTAAATGCATCTGCTTTTGATGGAGTTTTGTTCTCTGAGCTGGATGGTTTAGTCGTGGAGCTTTCATCGTTCTTCTGAACGACAGCATCAGCACAAACTTCAGATAGAAGTGAAGTGTTTGAATTTCTCCATATGCGTTTCACAGCTTGTTCTGTACACCTCGATGTTGATTGGTTCTTATTGACTTTAAATTTGTTATTGTTTACTTCTTTGTTTTGGTTGTGTCTCTTATTGGTTTGATTTTTCGTTCCTATATTTTTTCATCTGCTCCACTGCAACCAATTCTGAGATATGTCATTCAGCATCTCCTACCATTGGTGACGATAGCTTCAATTCAAACAATATTTCTTTTTAAGTATTCATTATCTTGGATACAAATGTTCCCTCCTTTTTTGTGTACACAACGAGTGTAAATGAATAACGAAAGTATTTAGCGACCGTTAGTTGTTAGATCTATATCTACTAGTAACTTACTGTTTTTATATTAAATCTCATTTCATTGAACTTGTGTTTTATTCGATCTATTGACTTTACCATTATATGCAGTATCATCATGAGTTTTTTATTGGAGTTATTCCACGTGACGACTTGTAGTCAATACCTACTCTAAAGAGTTCTAAAGTACCATGATAATGATAGACAATTAAATAGTTTTTATCCTGTTGCTTGATATTTTGTTGGCTAACGGAGTTACTTGGCTCTCTAGATACTTTATTTTCAGCCATTAAGCTATGGTTTTAAATTCGCCACGCATCAGACGAGTAGTATTAACATTTATTCTTCAACATCAATCATAACTTAGTGATAATGGAACGTGTACATATCCATATGTTACTAGGTATTTTAAATTTTTTTGTATTACAAATCTAATTTTTCACCTTACCTTTTGTTGCTTTTCGTTTTTATTGTTCCAACTCGATTTTGCTGATCTAATTTAATTTTATAGATTGCTCATATGACTAAAAGTGCTATCTATTTGTTTGACGCGGTTATGTTTGGGGCAGCTTTGTTAGTCATCAATCAGTATTTTTCGTGTCCTTTGCCTGAAGTATTAGTTCTATGGATATCTTTGGTGAGTTAGTGTTGATTTTCTTAATTACCTTTGTGTGAAAGATTTCACTGATAAAGCGTATACTTTTTTTTCTGTATATCGTTTATTTGCTAACACTATAAACCAATTAAACTGGGGAGTTGGGATGTGAAAAATCACATGTATGGGTAACTATTGCGTCTCCGTGACATGTAAAACTGAAACATTGGAAACATAAAATTTCGGGTGAGATCATAATGGTTAGAGAAAGCCAAGGGACAGGTTGAATAAACAAAAGCAAACAAGCGACTAAAAATGAGTAGTAGAACCCATAAGCAGTAGTACATAGAAGACCTAGTAATGACAGCGGAAAAGGCTACAACAGAATGCAAATGGGACAACTATATGATACAACGAAGAAACTGACATGGAAATATAGTAAGCTAAAGCAACCAGCCAAGAACAAAGAAAGCAAGACAATCACTGAGATTCACGAACGCCTGAACAGGTGGGTAGAAAATTTGGAGAACTCCTGAATAGACCAGCCACACTAAACGCACCAGACATCGAAGCAGCGCACACAGACCTTATAGCTGCTACCCTACCTACAATCGGAGAAATCAGGATGTCCATCAGACAAATCAGGGGTGGGAAAGCAGCAGGACCTAACAATATACCATCTGAAGCACTTATATTAGACATAGAGATTTTGCAAACATGCTCCTCATTCTATTCAGAAAGATTTGAGAGGAAGGTCAATTGCCAAGAGACTGGGAAGAAGGATACCTCATCAAGATACCAAAGAAATGAGATCTCAGCTTGTGTGAGAACTATAGAGGAATCACACTACCATCGATACCAGGAAAAGTCCTCAACAGAGTGTTACTGAACGGGATGAAAGATCCAGTAGACTCCCTGCTTCGAGATGGATAGGTCGAATTTCGTAAGGATCGGCCGTGCACAGACCAAAGCATGACACTACAGACGATCGTCGAACAATCAGTTGAATGGAACTCGTCACTATACTTCAACTTCCTTGACTATGAGAAGGCGTTTGACAGCGTGGATAGGAGAACATTATGGAGACTTCTTCGACGCTGTGAAGTGCCTAAGAAGATCGTCAACATTATCCGGAATTCACACGACGAACTACCATGCAAAGTCGTGCATGGAAGACAGCTGACAGATACATTTCAAGTACGGACCGGAATCAGACAAGGCTGATTACTCTCTCTCTTTTTCTTCTGGTGGTTAACTGGATTATGAAAACCTCTACATCTGAGGGGAAGCGCGGAATGCAGTGGACAGCTTAGATGCAGTCAGACTATTTGTACTTCACAGATGGTCCATCCCTTCTGTCCTATACACGTGCAGGTAAAGACAACCAATGTTGCAGCAGCCGCTACAGCAATAGGTCTCAATGTATACCAAGGAAAAATCAAGATCTCGAAATATGACACAGCACCAACCAAATCACGTTCGATGAAGTAGCTCTGGAAGAGGTGGAACGTTTTACGTACCAAGACAACATCGATAAGCAAGGGGGGTCTGATGCAGATGCAAAGCGAGGGTAGCATTACTGCAGCTAAAAAACCTGTGGAACTCTATACAACTGTCTGCAAGTCAACATCAAAGAATCCTCAATGGAAACATCAAGACAGTTCTACTGTACGGAGCTGGAACGTGGAGAACTACTAAAACCATGATCAAAAAAGTGAAACTATTTCTAAACAATTGTCTACATAAGATACTCAATGTCTGTAGGTCGGATACCATCAAAAATTTACTATGTCAGAGAACAAATCAACTTCTCTCTGAAGAGGAAATTAGGAAAGGATGCCGGACGTAAATAGGACACATATTACGGAAGTGATCAAAGGCGAAAGGAAAATAGATATACTAAAGAACACATTGCTCTGGGATTCGGAGATAGACACCAAGAGAATAAATAACATTTAGAAACAACTGGAAAGGAGAGCTCAGGACAGAGTTTGTTGGAAAGTCCTGGTCGTTGGCCTACGGTCAATTCGGTAACGTAATTTAAATTGCCAAATGCTTAAAGACCTCTTTTTATTCAGGAAGTGATTTCTTCGACCATTGACTCACCATACGTGATATAAGCTTCTTCTTTATTAGAAATATTTGAAGTGATCAACATTTTAGACCATTCAATTGGTCCATTCACTGAGCACAGTATAAATATGTTAACTAAGGATAGGCAGCGCTACTCTAACTGTGCAAATTTACTATATAAAGAGACTGAGATGATGTATTAAGAAAAACTCACTGCATAGCCCAGTCCAAAAGCAGAGTTTTCTTTGGAGGATAGTAATGACACCTTTGCCATCCTTATACTGTCCAATCAAGGTTTTCAGAAGACGACAGTCAAGACGTGTGACCAGTCCGTGAAAACAGACGACAGTCTGTTTAGATTTCATTCTAAAAAGACCGCGTTTTTTGTGTTATCTAAACCAGTCAGATAACGTTCTATTCAGAGACAAGTTCCTCACAGTTTATGATTACTGTCAAAAGTATATTTACCAGTCATTTAATCAAACGCAACGTAAAACCTGTCATATTTGTACAACAATTCAAGCTGCCATACCCTATTAGCATAGTGCGATAAAATTGTCAGGGAAAATCCTAAAGTGGTAGAGATAGTCAAAGGATCGACGGTAATAGGAAAGATTAGTCGTCGAAGATACGATTCCAGCAGAAAATATAAATCACTGGAATAAATAAATTTATAAGGAATTTAGAAGCCTAGGTTCTGAATAGAGACCAAAAAGTGAAGGTATCTGTGGGACTGTCAAAAATTTTCAAGCCCCATCATTCACAGTCTAACCACTGGCTACGGCAATCACGTGGACCCCAACCAGGTTGTCTGCACCTACTTACATGGCTTAGCCCAACAGTCAATGTTTTCACGGACTGGTCACACGTCTTGGCTTGCCCACCCGTAGCCATCTTCCAACCTATACGAGCCATCGTTTCCCGTCGAGGTAGTCAATGGGTTAGAATGCGTAATATATGTCCTACTCACTATGTCATTCGATATGCCCTATTTACCTGTGGGACAAGAAGATGGACATTGAAGAGCGAAAATCCCTTCGAGTAATTTAAATATAATTTCAGTATATTTTTTAATTAGCATGTCTCAAAAAACAAAACTGCAATTGAAATAAGTCACTATTTGCTTATTATTTATAAATTCTAGACATTTGGAGCTGTGAATATCATATTATATGATGCTGATGTATGTATACAGTTGGCTGACTTTCTTAATATATATGTATTCCGTATTGGTCGACCATCATCTACGCGTCACAATAATAAAAATACACCCGTAAAGTCGTCAGTTCAAGACAACACTTACAAAAATTCACTTCGTATACGAAACAGTTCTCGTAATTGATAATAGTTAAGAAATTTTTTACCAGGTACTTTGTATTTCTCTTTTCCCCCAAAGTTACCATTGGTACACATGAATGCATACATTACAAAGGTATACACAAAAAACTTTCATTTATATATATATATATATATATATATATATATATATATATATATATATCTTTTTACGTGTACAGTAAGAAGTAATCGGAATCTCAGTTTTGCTTATTATTCTCAGAACATCGTGTTCCACGAAATGGTTGAATTGAAAAGCAGTTTCGTTTTCCTCTGTACAAAAGTTTCTATTTATGCGGTTGACAAAGTCCGCGTAATTTGTAATTTCCATGGCTCAAGATACGTATGAACTTTTACAATTTCTTTACAATTGAGTACATAATTTCCACCTATTTATCTTTCCCTTTTTCTTATCGTGTTTTTCTTTATTATTTACTTTCCTTGTGTTTTGCGCGCCATTTGTACCAGTCAAACTAGTTTATTTTTATAATTATTTATTTATTTCTCTGAAAATAAAGATCCACATTTACAATTATCTGTTTCCCATTTATCTTACGATTATGTTGTATATGTGTATACATCAAATTCATTGTTAATTCCTGTTAAAATAAAAAAAATAACATATACCCTGATTTTCTTTATACATACCATGTGTCAATCTACGTAGCTTTCTTTTTTTGAGTTTTTGTGTGTATTTGTAGGCATTGTTGATTATTGTACTTTTTTTCTTAGATATTTCTCATATCATGATTTACTTTTATTGTCTGTAGAGTTTTTTTTCCTATTAGAGTTTTATTAAACGGATGTGCCCTGCAATTATCAGCTGATAGTAAAGCTGATTGATATATACTTTGTTTTGTGTATGAGGATATCGGTGACTTATCCTTCTGCCCATTCTTTGTAAGCAATTATTTGGTACTTTCTGTAGTACCAATAGTCCATTTCACGTACAATCTGTACATATTATAAGAAAAATATACGTAGTAAGTACGGTAGAATTATGTTCCAGGTTTATTGGTGATATTAGTACAATTAGCATATATATGTGTATGTAAACCTGTTTATTTCTTGGCTTTTAGTGATACGTTTTATTTACAAAACGTGAACAGATTGCTAAACAGTAAAAAAACAAGGTTTATAGAATGAAATAAATTCTTTATATGTACGAGTAGTAATTATACAAGTAATAATAAAATTATAAACATGTTATATGAACGAAGAATATTATTTTCAATAAATTCTCTCCAGGTCCTACAGTTATATATCCCAATTAAGAATCTAAAAGTGGACCAGGTTTAAGGCAAAGTACATCGTTTCAAAATTTATAGCATGTGAGTTAAGAATTGTTTGTAATGCTAAATAAAATGAAATCGTCAATGTTGGGATGACTAATATGAAGCTTATACGCTATTACTACTAATATAATACTTGCCAACGTTTTTAAGAAGATTATTCAACATCCATCTCTTTTTACTAATTTGTACCTCATTGATATCATTCTGTGTATTACGTGGTTTTTAATTTGTAATTACATTATTCTCTCCCCATGTTGACCATATTTATTCTGATCATCATTTATCTCACAATTTCATTTAATGTATAAACTAAATCAAGTCAACACTTCATATTAGTCACCTAAACATTGACGATTTTAATTTATTTTACAATCCTTAGTTCATATGCTATGATATTTAAATGATGTATTCTACCTTAAACCTAACCACTTTTTGGATTATTAATTTGGGTATATAATTGTAGAACCCGAAGAGAATTTATTGAAACGAATATTTTTCATTCACATATCTGTGCTTTAATATGATGGAAATATTCCAGTGAATACAAATCTATTCTCTAATAGCAATTATAAATAAGAGTTTAACGTAATTTAATCAGTGAAGTTTGGATGAATTTTCGAAATGGAACTAAAGTTCATAGGATGAAGAACATGATACAAAAAATATGATTAAATATAGTTAACATTGATTAGTATTCATAGGTTAATAATAATTATATAGAGATATAGGGATGATATTTTAGTTACTAATATTTAAGTCGTAAGAAAGAATGACGAAATTGTAATGAAAATGGTTGTATAATCACTTGACAAAGAAACCAAATCATATTTATGTGAACAGTGATGAAATTGTTTCGGAGGGGGTATTTACTTTATTACAATTATAATCATCATGGCAGAAGGTATATCACGCCGAATTTCCTTAAACAGGTTGGGAAGTTGCTGAGACGTTATCTTCACTGAAGTTCCTATTCATAATGCATGTATTATGTCAGATGTGATTAATAACTACAAGAAAAAACTTAGTGAACACAAATGTAAATTATGCAGAAGCATTGTTCGGTAATAATATAGGATCCATGATACATGGGTTAATTTATGACTGGTCATATTGCTAAGCTACGTTTAGTTGTAATCTTTGCATTTCATGAAGTGATCTTGAATGGATTTTACGAAGGATATTTGAGCCTATTCGTTATATTGCAAGCTGGTTTATGAGTAGAACGGAAGCAAGCTCATCATCATCGCTATTAGTGATTGGTGACGTTGAGTGATGTAAGTCAGGATTGGTCATGAAAGCTTATATGTATTCGCTGCTTACCTTCTCCTAGATTTCTCTTTTTAGTGTTTCTATACACATCTTATCATTCCTTCTTCTCAAACCATATTCTCAATGTCTAATCTCATAATTAAACAGGTAATACTATTATCTTCCTTTCTTATTAATTTCATCTCACTTCGCCAATGTAGTATGTCAACCGTGGATGATGCATGTTATGTCAAGTTGTAAATTGATTATGAGCGAGTTCGTGATGTAAGCTGTAAGAATAATATTTTAGTAAGGGGATCTCGTTTTTTTAAATAATTTAATTGTTGAGGCTGGATCATCGTATACATATATATGCACTATTGGACTGTAACATTATTTATTACTAGTGATCTATCGATTGTATGTGCATGAAATTTTACGACTTTCGATTTTGGTTTTAGTTTATATCTCAAGAGGTTTGGTGATTTATATACTTTTTTGTATAAATGTTTTCTCCGTACGAATAAATAATAAGCATACAGTAATCGTATAAATATGTTTTAATATTAAAATTATTATGTATCTACTAGTCCCTTGAAGATGCCACAGGTATTCGGAGTTTGATAACACTTTAACCAGTAACACCTAATATGAATCGTACCCACCAACTGAAATCAAAAGACAGAAGCATGGAGGTTCGAAGATATATTGATAGGCTATCAATATATCGAGGATCGTCTGATCTAATCTGGCTAGCAATTTCAGGGGTTTTTGAGCACAGCGTTTCCACTCGTGATCTGGTGCGGATGCATGACCGAGCGCCTTCAGCTAGATGAGTCCATTAAAACTAATGTGGTCAGCATCCAATGTCGAAAACTTACAGAGCTATTTATTTTGGGGATTTATTTACCGGTACAGATCACCCCCTAGTGGGGTAGTGATGACCCTAAGACGTGACCAGCCAGAAGTTTAAACCCAACGAATTTGTCGTTAGTAAACACTTCTGATAGCTTGCAAGGTTTAGCAGCGTCTGGTCGTCTATCCTTACGATAAGGGATCATGAAGTACAATATAGTAAAAAAAGTACAATGAAAATTTCGGTTCCTCGTAAACTTCATCGTTCTTTTTATCGTCTTTTCCAGCCGTCCTGGAAAAAAGTATATATACAAGTGCATGTCGGAATATAACTCCGCCTGTAGCTCTCCTAAAGTTACTGCCGGTCTCAAGCCCGGATAAAGGAGGAGGGTTGGGCATGTGGTTAGCGTCCCCATCCAGTAGAAAACTAACTCGCTAAAATAACGCTAACCAGAAAAAATAACTCAAACCATTTAAACTCTGCCCTGGGAGTTAGAAGGTCTTCATTTAGAAGAAATATGACGCATTAGGGTGAAAGCCGAGTTCCTTCGAAAGCCATAAGGCCGATTCCCCTTCTAACAACCAGAACAACAATTTTTATAGGTACATGGAACGTCCGGACAATGTGGGAGATCAGGAAGACCAGTCGAATAGCAACGGAAGCAAAGAGATACAACTTGGCAGTACTTGGAATCAGCGAAACCCATTGGACCCAAGCTGAACAACAAAGACTAAATACGAGAGAGATGCTGCTATACTCTGGTCATGAAGAGGAAAATGCTCCGCACACTCAGGGAGTTGCTCTAATGCTGTCCAAAGTAGCACGAAATACACTTGTAGGGTGGGAATCTCACGGATCCAGAATCATCAAAGCATCATTCAAAACAAAGAAGGAGGGGATCACAATGAATATTATCCAATGTTATGCACCCACAAATGATAGCAACGACGACATTAAAGATGAATTCTATGAGAGGCTGCAATCAATCATAGAGAAGTGCCCAAGAAAGGACCTCAACATTCTGATGGGAGATCTAAACGCCAAAGTCGGAATAGACAATACCAGATATGAAGATATCATGGGACTGCATGGACTGGGAGAGAAAAACGAAAACGGGGAAACATTTGTAAATCTGTGTGCATTCGACAAATTGGTCATAGGCGGCACAATATTTCCACACAAACATATACACAAAGCTACATGGATCTCACCGGACCACACCACAGAGAATCAGATAGATCATATTTGCATCAATAAAAAGTTCCGAAGGAAAATGGAAGATGTGAGAACAAGGAGAGGAGCGGATATAGCTTCCGATCACCACCTGGTTGTGGCCAATTTAAAACTGAAGCTAAAGAAGAACTGGACAAACAGCGCTGCAAAGGTTCAATACAGCCCTCCTTCGAGATACTGACAAACTCAATGAATTCAAGATAGCCCTCAACAACAGGTTCCAAGCCCTACAGGATCTACTGAAGGAAGAAGTAACTACTATGGAGGATAACTGGAAAGGTATCAAAGATGCATGAACTTCAACGTGTCAAGAGGTTATGGGGCCCAAGAAGCATCATCACAAGGAATGGATCTCTATAGAAACACTAGACAGGATCAAAGAAAGGAAGAACAAGAAGACAGCCAGTTAATAACAGCCGAACACGAGCAGAGAAAGTCCAAGCACAAGTTGAGTACATAGAAACAAACAAGCAAGTGAAGAAGAGCATTAGAGCCGACAAACAGAAATACGTGGAAGAACTCGCAACGGCTGCGGAAAAAGCTACAAGAGAAGGAAATATGAGACAACTACATGACACAACGAAGAGACTGGCAGGGAAATAAAGTAAACCAGAGAGACCGATCAACGACAGAGAAGGAAGGCCAATCACTGTGATTCGACAACAGCGGAACAGACGGGCAGAGTACTTCGAGGAACATCTGAATAGGCCGGCTCCAATGAATCCACCGGACATCGAAGCAGCACACACAGATCTTCCTATAGATGTCAATCCACCAACGACCGAAGAAATCAGAATGGCCATCAGACAAATCAAGAGCGGGAAAGCAGCAAGACCCGAAAATATATCAGCTGAAGCACTGAAGTCAGACATCGAACTAACTACAAGCATGCTTCATCTTCTATTCAAGAAGATTTGGGAGGAGGAACAAGTGCCGATGGACTGGAAAGAAGAACATCTCATCAAGATTCCAAAGAAAGGAGATCTGAGCAAGTGTGAGAACTACAGAGGCATTACATTACTGCCAGTACCAGGAAAAGTCTTAAACAGAGTGTTGCTGAACCGGATGAAAGACGCAGTAGACAAGTCTGTCTACTCTCTCCCTTCCTCTTTCTTCTGGTGGTCGACTGGATTACGAAGACCTCGACATCTGAGGGAAAACACGGCATACAATGGACAGCTCAGAACCAACTAGACGATTTAGACTTTGCAGATGACCTAGCCCTCCTATCCAATACACACGAACAAATGCAGACAAAGACAGCCAACGTAGCAGCGGTCTCTGCATCAGTAGGCGTCAAAATAGACAAAGGGAAAACCAAGGTCCTCAAACACAACACGGAGAACAGTAGTCCAATCACTCTTGATGGCGAAACTCTGGAAGATGTGGAATCCTTCACATACCTGGGAAGCATCGTCGACAAACAAGGAGGTTCAGATGCAGGCGTAAAGGCGAGGATTGGCAAAGCAAGGGCCACATTCCTTCAATTAAGGAACATATGGAACTCAAAACAACTTTCAACCAACATCAAAGTCAGAATCTTCAATACCAACGTCAAGGCAGTTCTACTGTGCGGATCTGAAACTTGGAGAACTACAACAACCACCATCAAGAAGTTACAAGTATTTATCAATAGCTGTCTACGCAAGATACTCAACATCCATTGGCCGGATACCATCAGCAACAGCCTTTTGTGGGAGAGAACCAACCAGCTTCCAGCTGAAGAGGGAATTAGGAAAAGACGATGGAAATGGATAGAACATAAATTGAGGAAACTATCAAACTGCATCACGAGAACTGGAAAGAGCTGGAAAGGATTGCCCAGGACAGGGTTGGATGGAGAATGCTGGTAAGTGGCCTATGCTCCTTCACGAGGGCTAACAGGCGAAAGTAAGTAAGTAATGTCGGAAAGCACAAAGCGGGCGAAAAACATGGAAAATAAACTCATGCTCACGTAATAGCGTAAAAAAGGATTTTTATAATATGGTTTTTTGTTTGTTTTTTGAAATAAAAAAATATAAATATATAAGCATATTAACATTGGTTTTTTTATATTACATATAGTACAAAGAGAAATCGAGATGACATAAAATGTAAACTAGTACCTTACGTGCAGCAATCGTTTAAATGTTCTGGAAATCCTACTCTTCTTCCAGAACGCGTTGTTTTAAGTTTATTTCCTGATACTGCCGAGGTATCATCGTGTGTGTTGGCTGTCGGGTGAGATAATATAAGTGTGGGAGTCGTGTCGTGCGATTGTACTGAAGGAAAATCGACGTGAATAGGATTTCCTTCTAAATACGCTGCTTTGAGGCGATTGATGCTGATGCTTTCGTTGGTCCCGTTCTTATAGACTATATAGTACTTGGGTTCGCGTTGAACAACTTTGAAAGGTCCTTCGTATGCTGATTCGATAGGTCGTCGATGTGAGTCTCGACGAATGAAGACGTGTGTACTATATCGTAAGTCAGGTTGAACGAAAACATCAGTTGATTGCAGTCGAGTAGAAACAGGTTTAACTGAACGCATTGCGTTTGTAAGCCTGTTCGCGTAGTAGGTTAGATCCATGTTCATTGAAGAGGATGAATGATTCACGAATTCGAAGTGTCGTTCCATAAATGCTTCCACTGCATTGCGAATTCCTAGTAAGACGAGTGGAAGAGCGCCAGTCCACTGAGAAATGTTTGCGGGTGTAAGTGACGCTTTTAGTTGTCGGTGAAGGCGTTATACTAACCCGTTTGCTTGTGGGTGGTAGGAGGTCGTTTGGAAGCGAGTGGTTCCTAATATTGCGGTCAGACAACGGAAAAGTTCAGATTCGAACTGACGTCCACGATCTGTAGTGATTGTTGTTGGCAGCCGAAGTTTGTTACCTATCGTTCGACGAAGGCGCGGGCCACTGTTTCAGCAGTGATGTCCTTGATGGGTACTGCTTCTGGCCATCGAGTGAAACGGTCTACGCAGGTTAAGAGGTAAGAGTATCCATTTGAATCTGGTGAAGGTCCTACCAAATCCAAATGAACATGGTCGAAGCGACCATCGGGAGTTTTAAATGAGCTTAAAGGACACTTGTTATGTCTAATAATCTTAGATTCTTGGCAGCTTACACAGGAGCGTGCCCACTCCCTCGTACTGAAGATCAGTGTCTTCTTTTTGAAGCTGGGCGAGTTTTAGAGGGTCGATTCCTTGGAAACTGTTCAAGGAATTTATTCGAAACAAGGCGAATACATTGTTTGCTCCAGAAATTCGTTGAATATCTGAAGTAAACTGCGAAATGCAGTCCAGTTGTCGAGACTCAGGAGGTGAGTACTTGTCTGAAGAAGAGCTTTAAGAGAAAGTAAGTGGTTTACGGTCAGTAAAATGGGTGAATTCTCGGCCTTCGATAGTTTTGAAAATGCTGTACAGCGCAGTACATAGCTAGGAATTCCCCACTGAATGTGCTGTACCTCGATTCAGTGTCTAGCAACCATCTAGCGAAAAATGCCGAAGGTTGTCAGGAGTGGTTAACCCATTGTTGTAAGACTGCTCCGATTGATGAGGCGGATGCGTCCACTGCGATACTAGTGGGTGCTCCAGTGTCCTGATGGGCAAGCATTGTTGCTTGAACGATAAGTTCCTTAATTATAGAAAATGATTTCCGCGTGGTGTCATCCAGATTGATAGATGTCGCATTTCCACTAAGTTGGTCGGTGAGAGGTTTTATAAGGGACGCGCATTTCGGTATGAACCACCTATAGAAACTTACAAGGCCGTTAAACGTGCATAATTGCTTGACGGTGGTCGGTTCCGGATAATCCAGAATGGCCGCCACTTTGGTTCTAAGGGGTCGGATACCTTGCTCATCGATAGTGTGTCCTAGGAAGTCTAAGGAGTCGGTTCCGATTTGGCATTTCTGGATGCTTACAGTAATGCCATGCTCGTTTTGATCATGTTCATTCGAGTCTGGTAAAGGTCCTACCAAATCCAAATGAACATGGTCGAAACGAGCGTCGGGAGTTTTGAAGCCTTTAGAATTTTAGTGAATTAATTGCTGTTGAATTTCACCTATGCGTAGTATTTTTTCAGTATAGAGATTACACATTCTGGGTTAGATTTACAACCTACATTTTTGTCTCTGAACTAATATTTTAGTTTTAATTTTTCTCAAAACACCAATTTATTTTCTATATTACCCGTTCTTAGCACTCAGGCGGATAGAAATGTGGTTAGACTTATATTCCGGTTAATAGAAATCCAACTGGATGTCTGATGAAGGCTTTCTATAAATAGATTTATTCAGTGTTATTTTGTGTATCTTTAAGAATTCCTTATCAAGATGATAAATGTTTAGTTCGTTTTCTACCCCAGTATTGAATTTGATTGGAGATGAACAAATATTGAATATGCATAAACTGTTTCCAATCACAAATGCTGTTAGTATTGCATCTATACCTTTTATAGTCATAAAGATGATTAACTGTGGCTTTGAATCTATTATATTTTAGAGAAATTATAAAGTCATTTTATGGATGTTTCAAACATATTCACTACAGAGCATATCTAAATAATTACACATCTAATTACTTTGGTATAAAGTATTTTCTTTATTTTGTTCTCTAATTAACCATATATCCTTATTCATTTTGTCAATTTCTTAACAACCAGTACTAATCTAATTGTTAAAATCATCTAATTAACATTGATTAAAATTAATGATTGTTAATTTGAGAAAAACTAATTTGTCATATCATATGATCAGTTAGGAATTTAATCAGTTGTTTCTCATAATTTATGGTAAATCAACATGCTACATTCTAACTAGTTTATGTAACTCTTTCCATAACGCTATAGAATAAATTTATGCTTGAAGTTGATTTTGTAATAGTGATAATAATAATAATAATAATAATAATAATAATCGAAATTGTATATGACTTCATATGAGTTGAACATGGTATTTTCACAACTAATCTTAATCGTAAAATATGTAACTAGTTTATCAGTAATTTTTTTGTCAACTTAAAATAATGTAAAGTGATTACGTCATACTTTTACACTGAGCTAAAGTAAACCTTAATTTGTTGATTAAAGAGAAATAGAGTAAATGAAATTACACTATTCTGTGATATCAATATATTCAAAACAAGATTTGTGAGAGTAAGAGAATTCATATACTGAACTTAATCGATAATCTTTATCAAAGAATGAATAGTTAGATTTTTGTCTTCCCTTCAAATCATTCTCAGAAAATCACCAAACCTCTTGAGATATAAACTAAAACCAAAATCGAAAGTCGTAAAATTTCATGCACATACAATCGATAGATCACTAGTAATAAATAATGTTACAGTCCAATAGTGCATATATATGTATACGATGATCCAGCCTCAACAATTAAATTATTTAAAAAAACGAGATCCCCTTACTAAAATATTATTCTTACAGCTTACATCACGAACTCGCTCATAATCAATTTACAACTTGACATAACATGCATCATCCACGGTTGACATACTACATTGGCGAAGTGAGATGAAATTAATAAGAAAGGAAGATAATAGTATTACCTGTTTAATTATGAGATTAGACATTGAGAATATGGTTTGAGAAGAAGGAATGATAAGATGTGTATAGAAACACTAAAAAGAGAAATCTAGGAGAAGGTAAGCAGCGAATACATATAAGCTTTCATGACCAATCCTGACTTACATCACTCAACGTCACCAATCACTAATAGCGATGATGATGAGCTTGCTTCCGTTCTACTCATAAACCAGCTAGCAATACACGTCATGCTGTTAGACTCTGTTATACACTGAGTATTCAACACATCACTGGAAGCAGTTTCGCTTTATGATCGTGAAAACTAACATGCCTCAGTTAGGAGTTCTCCATGACATTCTACATTCAACCATCGTCGTCTGTGCATGGTTGCTGACGTGCAGTAGAAATACCAGTTAGTAATGTGCAGGTTCGTCAGTATGTAATTGTGAGCATTGACGATAACCCAATTAGCGTCCCTCTGTTGAAATAGCTGATGTGTGTGTGTGTGTTGAAAATGCAGTCACAGGAATATGTACATAGATAATGATTTTCCGACTCGTTTATGGTGTAGAGAAAACCGGGAGGTGGCCAGTTCACGAGATAATGTATTTACAATGTATCTACAAAACGAAATTCATTTCGATAAATCTAGTTTCCATCAGGTCAAACAATGGAATGAGTCAGTTGACAGTATAAAGAACAAAAGCACTGCTGAGGAGTCCCATAGTAGGACGAAACGGCCGTCCAGTGCTTCCAGGTTTTCCATGGTGGTCTAGCTTCAACTGACTCATGATCTTAATCAATGAAATTATTACAATCTCCACAAAACCCCTTCTGATAAAAGTATCATAATTGAGGAGTAAATCAAATGAATACTTTCTCGCTCAATCAATGAAATATAAATAACATATTATGTCTTATAAATTTTTATCGATTTGAGTCATCACATTTCACATATGTTGAGTGGAGAAGGAAATTAGTATAATGATATGACAGGATGAAAAGACATAATCACACTTTTAACTCATTGTGATTCTTGCTCAACATTAAATCTGTTCTTAATTCTACATGATGATTATTCAGTGACATCTTTATTGTGTGCTATTCTATTTAGTATGATATTGATTACTTTTAGTATGATGTTTATTCAAAACATGATATTCTTGTATTAAATTAACGTGATGTTCAGTACGACATGCAGTGTACGATTCTGCTATAATTTCATACATGTGACATTGTACTAATTAACAATCAAGTGTGTGTACAAGTCAATATGTAAATGAGTGTATTTTCTGGGTGAATAAATCTTCACTTGTACAACTCTTGGTGTTGTGACTTCGAATTGTGGGAATTATAGTGGTTCCTTGTATCAAGAATATGCAATCAGCAACGTGAACATAATGAATGAGTAAACTACGAAAATCGTAGAAAAATGGTGACAATATCCACATGATTAGGAGACCTCAACTTACACGAAACAGGTATCTTGTGCTTTCTAGTCCTTGATAGCTCTTCA